TCCATACAACGGAACTGCACTCACCAATAAAGGTAATACTAATACATGTATCAGCAGAGATGCACTCACAACCACAGGATGAGTGAAAGGCACGAGGAACAAGAGCACACGCTGAGTTTATTTCTATGAAATTCTAGAACATGCGAAGCTAATCAGTAGTGTCAAAAGCACAAAAGTGGTTGCCTAGGGTCATGCATTGGCAGAGATGGACAGCAAAGGGGAGCCCTTGGGTGGGAGAGAGTGTGTCTCAACTGGAGCAGGCACAAGGCCATCCATTGGTCGAAGGTGCTGAATATACAGATGGACACGTTTTGGCATGTATAACTTATAACTCCATAAAGTTAATCTTAAAATAAAAATTGTGGTGGCCATCTTTTTAGTAACTTCAAACATTTTCACTGATTAAGGATAATTTATTTCTTGAGTGTTTACTATGAGTTGGATGCCAGGTGTATCCCATTTCACTATCTACCTAGAATGTTAGCCCTACTGACATCCCCATTTCATAGATGGAGAAACTGTGGCTTCCAGAATAAAGCCATGGGAGGAACTGACTTGATATCACTGGAGCATCGGTTGGAGACTGGATTGAAACACAGCCTTTTGGATTCCAAAGTCTTTGCTCTTGTCCACTCTATGAAGAAGTCTTGTTGGTCATAGAGGCTGCACTTCTGTTCCTCAATAAAATAAAAGTCACCTACTTAGCTTTGGTGTGAGGGCCTGGACCCTTATGCAGGGATCTGGGGCAGTGGACAGTGTACTCGCACAACCCAGTCTTCTCACTGCTGGTCCTTCCTCCAAGCAGTGATACTGGAGTTGGGGGGTGGGACAGTGTGGACACGCAGCACTTGACAAATTACTCATCCCTCTTGCTGCCTGAGCCAGGTGCAGGAGAGCCTGTAGGGCCCCAGGTGTGGAGGTTCAAGTGCTCTCGTGCACCTGATTCATCTCCTTCTTCTTAGTGGCATCATTGTTCATCTGTGGTCAAAGATGCCCTGGACCATCCCTCAAAATGAGGCAGAAGGGGCTGCTGTCCCTGCGGAAACCTCTGTCTTGTCTTGTAGGTCTGGCTGACCCCACAGCCCACCCAGGAAGGGCACGAGCAGTATGCAGTTCTCATCAGGGAAGAGATGGAGCAGCACTTGGAGATCTCTAGCCCTCACCTGCCCCAACTCTCATCTGGTTCTACCTGTCCCCCAAGACAGGTGGACAGAGAAGAGCCATGTTCTAGATCTTAAAGACTGAGACCTACCCACTTCTACCCATACCCCACGAGGAGTCAAGGGGCACTCTGAATTGAAATTAGTTTGGATGTAGAATCTCCTTTATAGCTCTTGAACCCTGGAGCTTATGGGAGGTCATGCATTTTAATAGCTTAGTAGTCACGTGTGCTGGATTTACAGATTTGGTAGGCCATAGAGGGACTTTCTACAGTCTGAAAGAGAAAATAGGGTAGGAGGGTGCTGGCCCCTTGGGTAGATTACAGCATGGACTCTAATGTAGCCATTTAATAGCGATTGGTCCACAAGGGGATACCAAGGAGGTCTAGAGGAGGCTCAAGGGCTGAAAAGAGAAGGTTGAAATTTCCCCAGCAAACCCAACCCTTGAGAGAGGGAAAAGGAGACCAGTAACTTCTGGTTGCAGAGGGATTGTGTATTTTCTCAAACCTGTAAGCTCTTCTAGTGGCTAACTAAATGACACACATACTCAGCTTCCCCAAGAATGCAGAAGCAAGAGCATTTGAGACAATATTCAAATGTCTTGTGAACTCTTTCCTGTATCCATCCTGACTTCAGTTCTGAGCAAAAGGCCCCTCAGGTTCCCTGAGACAGAACTGGCTCTGCAGGAATGTCAACTGGCTCAAACCACCACTCAAAGAAGCACCCGCATTGGGAAATCCCCAACTATCCACCTCTGCACCCCATCTCCCAGGCTTCCAATTTGATTCACAAGCAGCGATGGAAGAAGGAGGAGAATGAAGAACAATTAGGAGAAAGATGGGTACTTAGGTGGAGACTGGAAGGATGGAATGAAAGAGGAGGGAGATCTTTCCAGGACTGAGGGACACTGAAGAGGAGGGGGCTGCTGGCTCAAGACTGTGGTTGCCTGGCCACTGAGACCATCATGCGATTCCTTCACGGGTCCTCTTCCCGCTGCGTTCCCTGCTTAAAATTCAGTTTCACACAGCCATCTTCCTCCCTCCCTCCCTTCTTTCCTTCCCCTCCTCCTCCCCTCTAGCCCTTTCCTGTAAAGCACAGGAAAAAGAGACGAGCAGAGTTCAGAGTCTATTTACCAGGCCACTTCAGGTGACTCACTGTTTCAGTATCAGCCATCCTGATCCATTTAGCTTTTCTCTCCTTTTTAATTAAGTTACAGCAGTCTCCTCTCTCACTGTTGATTTTCCATTTTTTAATTGTGCAAGACCTTCGCATAAGCAACCTCAGAACATGCTCTTCTCACATTTAAGGCGGCAGTAATTAGGTCAGATTTGCTGAGCCTGTGGGAATCCCACAACCAAAGTGATCTTCATGGTGGTTTAATGCCTGAACTCCTCTGTCTTATGTGTGAGGTCACTAAGTGAATAAAGGGAATGGCTTTGACATCCTGGTGCCTATTGAAGTTTGGAGAATGGCTTCAGGGTGGAAGGTTTATGCGTTTTTCTTTACTAGTTGAGAAACTGTGAACCCCTGAACCCATGTCAGAGCCCACCATGCATCTGGGGGCTTTCATCCCTCCGTACGTAAGGTACCTGGAGATATTTTATTCAATTTAGAGAAAGTAAAGATTTGATGGATGGCAAAGTCTTGTAAATCAGGAAGCAGGAAACAAGTGGAAGTGCTCCGTGGTCTGTAACAGGAGAGGCATTTTATCTTTAAAGGAAAGCTTTGTTATCTTCCAAGTAGAGACCTACTGGTATTTTGGGTTCATTGTAGAAGACTTTACAGGACATTTATTTATAACTTTATGGAGTCTTATCAAACACCCACTTCATAGAATAGAGACTATTTTTACTGGTGTTACCCCTAAATATGATTTCTCATAGGTGGTCTGAGGGAAATGGAGAAAGAGCCCAAATAAATTGTCCAAAGCATGGAATCATCATTGTCTCAGACAATTTCTCCTGTCTTAGGAAGCCAAGAAACACCACCTGGCCTTTCCCTAGGGAATCACTGAGTCTAGTCTCCAAATCCCACAAACTTCACTTTCCATTCAATAATAATAAAATTCTTTGCCAGTTGGTTCCTTTGATCTGTCTGAGTCTTTTCCAACTACCAGATGATTTCTGAGCAGAGACCACCTCATTATTCTTGTAAAACCAGTCCGTTATCTCAGTTACCTTCTCCCTGATAACCACCCAGCACACTTTGACACCACCTCATTTATTGACCAGGCATGGTACCAGGATCTCAAGACTGCACGATGCCCAGGATGACCTTAAGCTGCTGTTCTCTTTTAGGAAGCTGCAAAGCAAACACAGGTATGACTGCCAGACAGAGAGATGAGGGCGTGAGAGAGGCTTGCCATCGGGGCAGGGAGGGGCTCCACATGTGATCACAGACTCGGAGAACCCTGCCTGAGGGTGACGACATTTAGTCTAAGCCTGAGGGACGGGTAGGAGTTAAATGGTGGCAGTGTGTATTCCAGGTAGAGAGAAGACCCACCGCGAAGACTTTGTGGGTAACCAATTATTTGGGATGGTTAGGTCAGATTTGCTGAGCCTGTGGGAATCCCACAACCAACGTGATCTTCATGGTGGTTTAATGTCTGAACTCCTCTGCCTTCTGTGTGAGGTCACTAAGTGGATAAAGGGAATGGCTTTGACATCCTGGTGCCTACTGAAGTTTGGAGAATGGCTGAGTGGCTTGTCCCTGGAGGGACAAGTGTAGGTGGACAGTTGGAGCTACCATTGGGGCAGTGACTGATTGTGAAGGTTATTAAATTCAAACTCTACCCCAACAGTTCTTGGAAAGGAATTGAAGGTGTCTAGCAGCATAACTGGATGTCTGTTGAAGAAGGATGAATCTCCCGTAGATGATAGAGTGGAGGGACTTATTCCATGAAGAGGGAAGCCATTGAGGTTGCTGCCGCCGTATTCCAGGTGAGAGGAAATAGGGGCTGGATGGATGCAGAGAAGTGGGAAGAGGAGGAACGTGTAGAACAGAAATACCAGGACTGTCAGGTTGGGAACTGATACAGGCAGGGAAGGGAGAAGGGAGAATTGAGGCTGTCCCGACTGCTGCCTGGGCTGGGGGGTAGAAGGAGGGGCTTGCAGGGGGCTGGAGGGAGGTGGGCCCCGCCTGCACATGCTGGGGGTGGGGTGAAGCTGACAGAGCTGTCTCTCATTCAGTTCTCGACTTCAGACACAGGTCTAGTGGGTACCTAGTCAACTGCCCACGGTGGGAATGACTGACTGCTGAGGAAGTGCACGGAGCAGGAAGACTGGCATTCAGGGAGGGAATGGAGCAAGGAGAATCCAGCAGCCCAGGAGAGGAGGCGGCAGGGGGAGGGAGGGAGGACTGAGGGTCCCAGATGCGCCTCCTGGTTCTGACGTGAGTCTCTGCTGTGCTGTGGGCTCCATTTCCTTCTCTCCTTGAGTTGCTCCTTCCGCTGTGCACCTCCCCAAATCTGGTTAACATTCTGGGTAAGGATGGACCCTGTCTCTGAACACCGTCCACTACTGTGTCTTGTGGTTCCTTTTCCTGAAGAAAGTTTATTTCTTCTTAGTTTTGGGAAATTGTTAAAATTCCCTCCCTTGGGAACAAAACAGCTTACAAAATTCTGATCACCAACAAATATTTTTTAAAGAATGGCTCACAGTTTAGAGAAAATTTGAACAAATAAAAGTACTTGGGGAGAGTTAGATATTTGCCTGTGTAGGTTGAACTTTTCTTGATCAATAGGATGCTTGTTCTAAACAAGTTTATGGAGTATTAACTCACACGGATGTGGTTTTATTCTTCAGCATTTTTTTTAAAAAAATCAAATGGTCCCAAACCGGATTTTCTGGGTGTTATATGCTCTTTTAATTTTATTTTTTGTTTATTTTTGATCATATCAGAGAGCTCCGACTACATCATATTGTGACTTCCCTGGGAATGGGCACCCTTCATTACTTCTGTGTGCTAACCTAATCTTCTCTAGGGGGAGTGATCAATGAACATATAGTGTGTGATAAACAGATTGCTTCCAGCCTTTCAGCCAAATCATCAATCGGCACTCCAAAGATTCCCATTCTTTTTTCTTCTTGTTGTTTCATTTCCAGACCCTGCAGAAATAAAATGACAAAATCATATTCTAAGATATATTAGTTTACGTGGCTATTCCAAGAGACTCTTTCTCTAAAAAGGAACCTATGCAAATTTTACTAATTGCTATAAAATTTTATCTCATATTGGATATATTAAAAGACTGTACAATCTTGACCTTAAACATTGAGATCCACTGTTTGTTATCAACAGAGGACTGATTTGGGGGACTGTCTCATTTTAAAGATAGCTCCATCAGTTTTAGAAATTTTCTCTTTAAACGTATTTAACTCAACGAGGGTGGGTTAAATAAAATTTGAAATAGATATAGGAACGTAATTAGTACTATGATTCACTGTCCTTTAATATCCCTTAAGTAGCTCATGAAGATAAGCACACTTGAGAGACAGAGGTCTAAAGCCCCGTGGGACAGGGTCTGTATGAGGGTCCTCTGCTGCTGTGAAGATCCCCACTGACCTACTGTCTTGTGCTGCCGGTCAGCAGGGCTGTGTTGCTGGGCAGGCCCTGGGGAGAACCGCTTCATTCCCTTTCCTAGCTTCTAGAGGCCAGTTATAGTCCATGGCTCATGTCCCCTTCCAGCCAACGATCACGCTCCCAGCTCCAATTTCATTGTCACTTCTCCTTCTCTGACCCTCTTGCCTCCCTCTCTTTAGGACTCTTGGGATCTTGTTTGGCCTCTGGATAATCCAGGATAGCCTTCCTGTCCCAAGGTCCTTAACTCACTGACATCTGCAGGGTCCCTTTGCCATGTATGGTCACACCTATTCACAGGTCCCGGGGATCTGAATGTGGACATTTTTAAGGGGCCATTATTCAACGCATAGTTGTGTCTTTAAGACAAACAGTACCCAGCTGGAAGAAGATCCCCTGAGCTCTGTGATCCATGGTCAGAAGGGTCCGACTCTGTTCTTAGTCTCTGCTTTCCCAAGCAGTTTTTCACATTTCTGCATCTCTCATCTTTCCCACCTTCCCATTTTCATGTCTTGTTCTTAGTCATTTTAAAAGGACCAAAGCAGGAGTAATGATTATATGCCTTTCATATATCAAGGGGATATACAGCCTGTGCATGATAACATGAGCTCTTGATTCTGCATGAGTTATGAGGCAAGATGGGGAGGATACAAGGGATCATGGCAACCTGAAAAATGTTCATCGTACATTCAGCAGCGGGAGCAAGTAGCTCAGCTCCCTGTCTCTGTCGTGGTCCCAGAGCAAATGCATTTTATTGATTTTTATGTTTGAAAGTCTCATCCACTCAGGTAGCATATTTAATATTTCAGGTACAATTGAAATAAGCTGAAACTCCTCCACTTTAGAGAAAAAGTTGTGGCAAATTGTGTAACTACCTGCAAGTTTATTTATACATCTATTGACTTCTCAGTTATCTTTTGTTTCTCTTGCCTTTTAGCAAGCAATGTAAGTGTTCTTGTTCAAGTTAAGAATGATCCCTTTTAAGATCCTACCAAGGCTTGGTGCTGCAGAGATTTCTTTCCAGGGATTATTTGAAGATGTAAGAGATTCTATCAGAAGGAAGAAGATGATTGATAATAAATGGTTAAAAAATCATTTAAATCCAAATTGAGAGACGCTTGTTTCCACTACCAATAAGTGTCATGAGCAAGTAAATGTCATTCATCTGTTATTCCAAAGATTGTCCACACACACTTTGTGAAGGCTCCCCCACCTCCCTGTTCCTATTCTTTCTGCCTCTTTGGTCACCTCTAATTCCCACACTGCTGGGTCCCAGTGCTGGTATGCCGCTCCCGAACTCTTCAGAACAGTCTGCCACCACCAGATTAGCCTCACGTGGGCTAATCCTCCTTACCCCTCCATTCCTTTCCAGTATCTTCCACGAAACTTCCAAGAGGATCTTTTCACAAGAGCAGTATCTCCAGCTTCCTGACAGTTATCCCAGATCTAATCATCTGATTCTTGCAAAGTTACCTTATTCTGTTTTCCTCTCCGGGATGGCTGGAAAAGCAACACTCTAACTACAGTTTCCCAAATGAATTCCTTAAAACACAAGTTTCCTAGCATGCTAATAGTTACCATGTGAAAAGTATGTTCAGTTGTCCACTAAACCCCGAGAGCCCGTAATGCCCATTGGCATGTGTGAAAACAGAGTCCTAAGTAACCTGTCCCATGCTGTTTGACACTGTATTTTCCATCATGTCGTCTACAGGCCTGGAGGATCTGGACATCACTTCAAAAGGGGATCACCTCGGAGATGAGCTGTCTTCCTCAATGACAAGCAGTAATGCTTTGGGGACAGTGAACAACAAGAGAAGCAGAGAAGCTTCAGCTGACGTAGAGTTAGAAGGAGTAGAAAATTCAGACTCAACCCAAAAAGGAAATGATTAATTCACTTACAGAAAATGAATTGAAAACCTTGAGAACAGATCTGCTTCGGGTGGAGCTGGGTCCTTCAACAAGACTTAGGAAAGCCAACTTAAACCAAGAGAAACCAACAAATCTCATTGACTCGCTGATTGAAAAAGCCCCAGGTAAGCAATGGCCACAATGTTCTGACATAGCCATCAGGGCGTGGTGTCCCTTTGTCTCCTGGCTCTGACTTCGGCCTCCTTGGTCTCATTCCCAGGACGGTGTGGTGGTCCTTGTCAGCTCCTGACTCACATCTTCCTACTTCTAAGGAAAAGTTGGGAAGGTCTCCTTGAATTTCTTTAGTTCTGATTGGGTAACACAATCCTCCTTGGGCCAACCACAATGACCAGGGAGATACCATCCTCTGACTGGTCATGTCTGAGTCCTGGGACCAAAGGAAAATCAACCCCTCTCAATGGACATGGGCAGAGAAAAGTTGTGGCATCATTATTAGCAGCAGAGTGAATAGGTGTTTGGTGGCCAGAGTACATCACTGTCCACGGCAGCTGGGAGGGAAGCATCTGCCAGCACATCTTGGTCTCAGGATTTAAAGCAGTTCAATTTCACAAATGAGTACAAAGTCATTGCTAAAATTTCTCCATGAGGACTGGCAAGTTAGTGCTGCAGATAGTCAGGATGCCTGCAGTTGTCACAGAAAAAGCTGGAGAAAGATGTCCCCAGGACGTGGAACGAAGGTTCCCCTCTGAAAATGTGGTCATCCAGAATGTGCCTCGCGGAGTGTGAGTCAGTTCCGAGTTCCTTGCTGGGGTGATTTGCTTAAGGGTCACGTAAGGGTGACTCAGTGTCAACCTCTCCATCTCTTATGTCACGCCTGGTAAGGAATTTCTGAACCAATTGAGAGCTTGCAGAAGTGACTCAAGGGATGGTCATTTTAAACTTATGCCCTGGGATCTGTGAGAAATACTCTTGTCCAGGCAAAAGGTGAATGGTCTAGGATCACATTGCTATCAGGGGAGATCTGCCAACTAATTGACTCTGCCTCAGTGAATCTGAGGACTGTGTGAAAATCCCGTTCTTGGTGCAGGAGGAGCCTAGGAAGTAAAGACAAAGGGCTGCGGCTTTTCAGGGTCAAGGGAGGACGGCCTGTCCAGCTAAGTCAGCTTGGGCTACTATATGGCACATTAGCATAGAGACAGTGTCTTATAAACCATAGAAATGCACGTCCCACAGTTGTGGAGACTGCAAGTCCGAGATCGGGGTGCTAGACTGGTCAGGCTCTGAACAGAGGGTCCTTCCAGGTTACAAACTACAGACTCCGCACCGTCAACTCACTTGGTAAAAGGAGCCAGGAGTCTCTCTAGGGCCTCTCCCATTCATGAGGCTCTGTGCCCAGGGCTCAATCACTTCCTAATACCATTACCCCGACAGGTGAAGTTCTGAGGACATAAACATTCAGACCACAGCACCAGTTTACACCCGTGTGGCTCTCTTTTTCCCCAAACCTGCCACTCCTTGGCCTCCCAAAACTTCAGACTTTGTCTCTTCTCAACTCAGGTCCCTCCTTGCCTGCAGGCATCCTGAGACCCCAACAGTATTGATATCTCAGGGCTCATCTTGGTGTCTTCTTCCACTTGGGGACCACAATCCTATGTAGACCTTTGTCCAAGGATGCAGGCATTTTGTCCAGTCTTCAAGGTGCTTAAGGTGGGAGGGTAAACCCAGCTCCTGCTAGTCTAAGGGGTTCTTGGTCTTTGCAGTGAATTCATTGGGTCTGGGTGTGAGATCCAAGGAATATCTGGAATGAATAAATGGAGCAGGGGACCGGGTGCCTTTCTCTCAGCTTCTCCTAGTTGTCTGATGAACAACAGAGAGTAAATGTGATTTCCTCGGGCACCACAGGGCAGCAGCAGTTACTGGGGTTCCTGGTTGGGAAGTTCAGAAGCTGGATTTTGGCACATGTGCCTGGAACCTTCTCTCCTGTCTGTTTCTGCAGCCCTCCCCACACTCCTATGATACCTCCTTTTCCTCCATGAACCACCAGAGTCGGCCACTCACTTGAAAGACCCATTGTTTTAGGGCTGTTATTTGACTGAGTAGTAAATAATCACCAAAAGAGTGACCAAAAAATAGGATATTGCTTTATCCAATCAAGAAAGGCTAATTTTAAATAGCTGCTTCCGGTTAGACCAGAGTCCTCTCTTCCACGCCATCTCTGTAGGCCACAAACTGATGCCAAAGACCAAAAGAAAATGAAAACATTAATTGTTTTTATATCTTCCTATTGTCAACTGTAATGATTTTTCCATTTGAAGTAAAAATCTCCTTGTTAGTGATTATTACTAAATGTTTTAATAACCTGTGCCAACACTTTACAAATCATATTTTTGGAACAAGTTTCTAGGCTTCATCAATATTTCCAGTGATGGGCATTTGTAATCAAGGTATAGGGCGTGTGAAGGTGACAAATGGCACTCTCTCAGGCAAACAGCGTCTGTTTAATTAATTGTATATTTTTCCATTCTTTTACATTCATAAGCTGAACATGTACTACACAGGCTTATAATTTATTCCTTTGAAAAATGAGCACATCTAGCACCGTACAGAAAGCAGAGCCGTTTTTATGAATAAATGTTCATCTTCTTGAAGCAATGTGCTT